CTGCACCTTGTTGTCTCAGATTCTCCAGCATCTGCAGTTCCTACTATCTCTGAGGCAATTGTTCTGACTTTTGTTTGAGTTAAGAAAAAATGTTTTAGATAAATGTTTAACTTTGGAATTATTAAAATTGAGTTTCAAATTGATTTGTCATTTTCTGGCTGGAGTGAATTCCAAATATTCTTTAACATATGGGTGAACATTTAATTCTGGATAATAGGATATGTTCATGTTCAATGTTTAGTTGCATGAATTGGTACTTTAGAAAAAAAAACAGCTTGACATCTTGAAACATTGGAAGGGTAATTTAGAAAGAAAACTGTCTGAAGATATGTTCTATAATATGAGAAAGTAAGTGTCAAAGAGTTTGATACAAGAAGCAATGCAACAGGGGATGGACGTTTCTCTTGTTCACATATGACTTTTGTTTAGGGCTAGAGGAAAGGGTTCAAGGGAGTGGGGCCAGGAGGACAGTTGTCTGATCTTGGGGGTTCAGTACTGGCAGTACAGTGTGAGGGGTGGATTGATTAAGGGTGGGGGCAGGGGCTGCAGGTCACGTCCTGTCCAGCTGAGGGGGGAGGGGTAGGGGGATCCACTGTCAGGAGTGTCAGATTGGAGTGGTGTCTGACAACCATGTTGGAAAGGGGGTGGAGAGTGCTGTTGGAGTCAGCTCTAATGGCATTGGGGAGTGTTTTGGTTTTGCAGACCAGGGTGATGGTATGCAGGGTGGGGATCAGGTCCAGTGTTGCCCATTGTGGGGGGGGGGGGGGGGGGGGGGGGGGGGGGGGGTGCTTTCAGGAGTGGGGTCAGGTCCAGCATCGGTGACGGTGGAGGAGTGTGGTGAGATATCTCATCTGACCGAGGTTATGGGGGGAATGGGGGTGCAGGTGTCAGGCCCCTAGAGGGTGAATCAGGTCCTGGGGATGGGGGCTGTTGATCCTGGGTCAGGGGTGCCTGGGGCCTATATGATTTCTGGGGAAAGTGTATTTGGGGGTGTGAAGTATGAGTTTTGATTAATACCTGTTTAGGATTTAAATTATGTATTTAATAGTTTAACTTTCCTTAAATAACAATTCTACGCAATTTCATCAGAACCTTTCGATGTCTCTGATTTTTAAGGAAACTTTTGGAGGGCTTCAGGCATAAAGGAATTAACTGCTACATTGGGGATTCTGCCAGGTCTCCTTGAGCAAACCTAACTATAGTGGAATAGCAAAGGTGTGGCAAATGGAAAATCTGGGCCAAAGTGTTTGAGAAGAGGAGAATTTTTTTATACACATTAAATATTGACTATCAAACATTTCAAAGCCTGGGTTCATTGAAGTCATATTTTACATTATTTAAAGAAAATGGTCACATGAAATTTAAAATAATCAGAAAACAATACAAATGCATTCATTCACAGTGTTAATGATATCTGTACATATGAAAAAGGAATATTTGTTTCTTTTAATGGGAAATAAATTAAATATTAAAGGAACAATGTCAGCAACAACACTTTTTTTAAAATTTAGGATGATTTTGAGCTACAAAAAAAGCAGCATAATTTATTGAGTTACTTTAGAGGAAAAACAAAACGTCATCTAAAATAAAGTATAATCGTGTAAAAAATGTTAATGCCTGGAATAAAGTAGAAATATTTGATTTATTGTTTAAAGCTGTTATGTTAGTACTGTATTCTATTGGACTGTAAAATTTCTCCAGGGAACATGAGAGATAGGATGGTAATGAGTGAAATTTGTAAAATTGTATGAGAGGAAAGTTGTGGAGGAAAAGGTACTCGGCTAGAAGACAAAACATTTTGCTGGAATCGATTATCAAACTATAACTCAGGAAGCCTGACTGGAAAGGAACATTGTTTATAGTTGAACACTAAAATAGAGCCAATACTCATGGCGAGCTTAGGTTACAGAGACTTCTGCAGATCCATCCCTGAGCCTGCTTTTCTTAAAATTTTCAGAAGCGTTATCACACACAACCGAACAACCTTCCCTCCACCAAATCACTGTGATTTTTTCTTTTGTTTTTACACTATTGACTGCCACCAGTAAATCACCCGTGTCGCCAATTGGAAATTTAAGTGCAATGCCCTACAGACAATGTGAACCATCAAAAGTGAAGGTGAAGTAGGGAGATTGGGAAAGACCTCGGTCTGCTTTGTAATTTTTTTAAATTTTCTAATCAACCTGTTCAGAGATATTATCTTACTGGGTAGGTGGGCCTTAAACCAGGTCCTCTTGCTCCAGAGGCAGGGATGCTACTACTATTCCATAAGAATCCTCTGGGTCTGCTTCATTTTTTATAAAACTAAATCAGTCTGTTCAGAGATGTTATTACACACCCCGAAGTAGGTGGCATTTGAACCGAGATCTCCTAGCTCAGATGCAGGGACACCATAAGAGCACTCCCAGCCCCACAGATATACATTTTTAATTTAAAATTTCAACCATTGTATTTTACTCATTCAATTCTCAATTCCACAATCCACATTTTCCTAATCAACCTGTTCAGAGATATTACACTACATCTGGAGGAGGAGGAACGTCAACACGGGCCTTCCTGGCCCAAAGATAGAGACATTATCACTGCACCGCAGAAGCTCCCAGGTCTGTTTATCATTTAATATCTAGATGTATCATCACACACAACCAAAACTAGAGCTCCTTTACTATATTTTCCTAATCGACCTGTTAAGGGAGGCACAGGGACCCAGACTCAATTATACACTTGGATGGCTGTCTGTGTGAAAGTTCTACATTCTCCTCATGTCTGCATTTCTTCCAGATGCTCCAGTTTCCTCCCACAGTCCAGGGATGTGCAGCTTATGTGGATTGACCATGTAAGTTGCCCATAGTGTACAGGGATGTGCAGTCTAGGTGGATGAGCCATGATAAATGTGGTGTTACAGGGATAGGGTAATGCGGTGAGTCTGAGTGGGATTCTGTTCAGTGGGTTTGTGCAGACTCGATGTATTTTCACAGTAGGGATTCTATGATGTTATGACACATTCTGGAGATGGTGGGACCTGAACATGGGTTTCCTGGCTCAGAGGCAGGGACACTATTTATGCACCACTAGGCTCATGGGTCTGCTTTATCTTTCCTAACCAACCTGTATCAGAGATGTTATGACACACGTCTGGAGCAGATGGGATTTAAACTCAGGCCTCCTGGATCAGAGGTAGGGACACAACCACTCTGCCACAAACCCAGCATGTCTTTGAGTCTGCTTTGTTTAAATATATCCAAAAGTGCTATCACACATTACCAAACAACTTTCCCACCACCAAATCATGGTGACTTGTTTTTTTGACTATTAACCATCACCTGGATTTTGCTTTTGTTCAGAGATGTTATGATATGCCTCTGGAACAGGTGGGACTTGAAGCTGGGTCTCCTGGCTCAGAGGTAGAGACACTACCACTGTGCCACAAAAACCCTTGGGTCTGCTATATTTTATGTGTCATCCTTACATAGGGGCCATGCTAATCTTTTCTACACTGCGCCAATTTTTGTGTATGTGCTGCCGAAGCGATCACCTGGTTCTGCTTTATTTATTTTAAATTTTACTTTTTTTTCTCTTTTATTCTATACCCTGAAGTGTTGTCACACACGGCTGAGTTATTTTTCCACCAGTGAATAGCCATGATTTTTTCTTAAACTACCAGCCACCATCAGGTTTACTCTGTGCACTGCTTCAAGATTAATTGACATCAGACAACAGCGGGAAGAACCTTATAGCGCCCAACTTGGGCTTTGGCAAGAAATTTGAGAAAATTGCATGAAAATTTGAATGAGGCCTTTCTCAACAGTAGGAGCAACTTGTTGCATTTTCCAAAAGATTTCCAGACATCAAGGTGAGATTTTTGCTGAAGAGCAGTGAGATACCTATTAACAGGGATTATTGCTCATTATCATCCACGTCACGACTGAATCTCACCTCGTTAATAGGCAGCTTCCGATCCTACCACTCACCACTTGAAACTGGACGCTGCAAAATTCCCAACATGGAAGTCAGGGAAGGTACCTGGTGACTCCAACTCACTGCCTGCTCCTCTGCACTGCTATCTTGAGCACTGGGCATCAATATCTTAGGCACGCTTGACAGATAGCTTCTGCACATCAATGGTTGCTGGCATCCAACACCTGCCAGTCTCCCCACATAGTGCATCTATGATCCAATTACTGTACGCTTCTAAATGTTGCCCTTCAGGATGTTCAGCAAACTATCATTGCAATGCAACTGCAAGGGGCCACTATGCACATAGGGCAGGCATCCAGCTGACGGGTTGGAACAAGCTGCATCTGCAGGCCCTCTTGCTCCCCTAATGCTCACTCTCTTTGTGCCTACCTGGAAGCTCACTGCATCCCAGCCTTGCTTTGTGTTACTATGCACCTCAAACCAGAGGCTCATCATATTGCTGTATTGCCTTGCTGTATAGCACTGACTCGAAGCCAGGCAGCTTGTCATGGTTGTTAGCAGTCATCAGTCAGGAAAGTGGGCATTTGGTCATATTCCTCATTGATCTGTCAATCTCACAACTGCACCATGTGTCTGCCACATGTGCAGGAAACACATTGCACACAACACAGTAAGTCATCAGCAGCCTCCAAATCAGTTCTGGGGCTTGGATAGGAGTCCAGTCTCCAATATCCACCCAGGTGTCCTATAAGGATGGTCATGGTCAGCGGGCCTGTACCTCTGCAGACTGGAGAGTAGGTCACAGTCAGCCCTGTGGGTCCAGTATGACTCATCTAGGGAGTTGTAAGAACACAATCAGGGAACTTTACAGATATCAAGCAGGGTCTGATCACTCATGTTTTCGGCTGTCCAGCTAAATCGCTCAAGGTGGAGGGCCATGGTCAGTCTAGGGTTGGGCTGGGTGTCAATCTGCTAAACTCAAATGGGAGGGGTTTATCAAGGGCCAGTGCTGTGGGAAGGGGAACTGGGGGACCTAATGGTGGAGAGTAGAGACTGAATGCTCAGTTGCAGAGGTGTGAGGAGGGGCAACTGAGTACATAGGTGAGGGGGAGATAATAGAGCTTAGGAGGGTAATGGCGATTTGGGGGGTGGGGGGGTGGGCATGCGTCTTTGATGGGAGCACCTGCCTGAATACCAAAAAGATCTGGCAAACATTCATGCTTAATCCAACTGGTGTCAGAGGATTTGGGCTATTTAGGAAAAAATTGAGACATTGAGGCCACTGTTTGATGGCAGGACTTGTGCAAGTGAGGAGTTAATAAAGAAATCCATACTTGGATATGGGTCATCTCACATTTGTTGGTCATCAGGCATCATTTTGTATCTGCTTTCTGAAATCTATGCCTGGAGATGTCAGAGGCAGGCTAAAAGGCTGGTCAGCAGAATGATCAAGAAACAAGACAAAGAGGCTTAGCTGTTGGCGTTAGAAAATACAGGCTCCACCTTATCATTAGGAAACAGGTCAAGCCACAAAAGGTGCAAAGTAAAAGCTTAGGGTTGTTACACAGGCAGAGCCCAGAACCTTGATATCCCTCAGTGGAGTATTCAGGCGGGTGGCATTTCTGGCAAGAGGTTTCTGACCAGGGCAAATAGGTGGGTGTGAACCAAGGATGAAGTAGTTAATATTAATAGGGATAAAAATCAAAGTGCAGAATAGTCTTAGCTTGATTCCAGCTGTAATAATTATCCATTGCTGCACAATGGAAAACTGAAAGCTCAGTTGCCTTGGAAACCAGCTCACCCAAGGCTGAGATTAAGATAAGAGGGGGCCCTGCATTAATTTGAGAATTAAAAAACAGTGCTGAAACCTTTGTATTTTTGAGAAGTCTTTCTTTGTAACCAAGAGTAACTTGTCCCCATGTTGTGCTTGAGGAAATCTTTTCTGGCTAAACACAAGTCTTGACTGCTTATAGTTTAAGAATACAAACATCTTTGTGAAATTATGTCTGGTCTCTGAATTATGCCTGTTCTATGTTTAGATCTTGTGTAAATTGGAATGTTTGGAGGTCAGTTTCAATTGAAGTCACAATCCCTTCTACGTCTCTTTACAGAAATATTATTTTAATAAGCACACTTCATTCGTGACGTCGTCGAGCAACCTTTTCAGTCTGGTGAAAGTAGACGATTGAATGATGCTGCTTCATTTGGCATGTTTCCCTTATTTCCTCTTCATATGTCTGCTGCTCTTCCCCAGTTCTAAGAGTATAAACATAACTGCCTGTTGTATGGCACAAGGTGAGTCCTCAATTCAGAAACAATCTAGAAAAGAGGCTTTGCTGCCAGAAACTGCTGAAAGGCAGGTTTTGGAATCCTTGGATTAAAGAAAAAATGTGTTCAAACTGCTCCAGTCTAATCTGAGCTTTCAGATAGAGTGCGTGATGTTCACAAACTGCTGTGTTCACAGGGTTGACCCTTTCATATCCTTTCAAAATCAATGCAAATAGTCGCATATGCCATTGCTGCCTAAAGTCTCTGCACTGCTGCAGTTGATGGAATTTGCGTGGTCATCTTTCAGCCCATTCTGCTCAATAACCGAATAAGCACCTTACAGCTAATTTGTCTTGGCAGATATTGCTGCCAGAATCACATTTAAGGTTTCCATGTGATAACTTTCAAGGTTGCAACTTATATTCTTGCCACACTGTCAGATAGCCAGCTTTAATGTGCGGCTGCCTGATTTGAAGTGGCGAGCAGAACACGTAAAGAAAGTTCTGAGGGTACACTTGGTGGAATTAATGTGTGGGACAGACAGATAAGCACTTACAGGAGACTGGAGGGCAACATGTTGTCTCAGAGTTCAATTGATGCCATCTGTGCCTGCCACTATTTTAACTGCTGGTCTCCTAACAGGTATTAGGACTGTCAATTGCAGGCACACATGAGTTTCAGCAATATTTGAATGTCGCTGACCATTAGACCCCAAAACAATCATTGTATCATACTTCAGGTTTAATCTTTTTGCCTACAGTTGTAGCCATGTCCATGAGATGTTCCAGACATTAACCTCCTGCTCAGTTATCACATGCTACCTATTTTGGTTGAATCTTGTACAAAAAGGATCCTTAGGAGAGCTGATTAGGGCAGTCTTTCTCTTGCCTCACTGTATAACTCAGCATCTTAAGGATGCCATCCACAAATAAGACAGTGTGTATTCAAGAGCAATTGATTGATCAGAGGTAATGTTAACTCTTTCCAGTCCTACAAGGGTTGGATCTGGCAAGTAGTTAAAATGCTGCTTCTTTGCATTAGTTCCTGAAATGCGTGAGCCATGCCTGCAATGTTTTACCTGGAGCGTTTCCAGCTGCATCAGGCCCATATGCCTCATCCAGGTAATGGCCTCATTAATTATTAAATGTCAAATTGCAATCAATCAACTGGACTGCGACGTAATCTTAATCACCCATCCACTGCTGATGTCAAGTCCAACAATGAAACCTGGCACAAGACAGGACCGTGGCCAGGATAAGTTCCTCATTTTGCTTTTGAGCCTGGAGGAGCAGGATCCCTCTCCCTTCGCATCAATGCCACCGCAGACAAGTGTGGTTCAGAGAGGTAGAATTGGTGATTTTTGAATTCATTCACGCCTGCATTTATTGCCCATTCATAACTGCACTTGAGAAAATGATGGCGAGCCACCATCTTGATCCTCTGCAGTCCATGTTGTGTTGGTATATTCTTGTAGAGCTGGAGCCAGGGAGTTATAGGATCACCACTTGTCAGAGGGTTCACATAGGGTTCTGAAAATACACAGGGCTTCTCAGACACTCTTGTTATAATTGTGATGTCAAAGGTTAACCCCTTCCTCCACTTCCTACCACCACCACCACGAAGAAACAACATACTGTTCAGGCAGCCTGTAACATGCAGACATAGAGGTCAAAGACAGGGCTGTTATCCTCATTTCTTTTAATGCTTGCTATGAGATTGGTTCAATGTTAAATTTTTCTTTTACGATGTACTGTATGTACAACACATGAGCATTACACCATGTAAAGCCACTGATGTGGGATAAAATTTGTCAGCAAAATTGCAGGAAAAGCATGAATAACAAGTGACTGAGGATGCACCCTGAAGCAATCACGCAACTTCTGAAAAGTTTTCATTGTAGCTACACTTTGGCTTATATTCTTTGCTTTCAATCTAATGTTCTATCCAGAATAACAAGTTACTGCCAGATCTCCAGCTATCAATCATCAATATGAACCCTTGTAAAAAGCTCTTACAAATTCCAAGTATATAACATCCATTTGTCAGCAATTTGTTTCCTAGCGCTGAACCAATATTCTATCTAATTTGCTATTTACATTCGAACCTGCCGCCCCTATATTTATTTTCAGTTCTTCTGTGATCCTTTTGTCAAAAATCTTTTGAAAATTGTGACAAATAAGTGGTGAGTTTTGACATGGAGCTATCCCCTATGACTGCCTAAATCTCAGGAGAAGAACCTGTCAAGATCATGGAAAATGGCGTAGAAACAACATACATAGTTTTTACAGACCATTTTGTTACCCACGCCCTGAAGATGACAGGTTAGGCATTCCCTAAGTCAAAGATGTC